TCTGACAGGGATCACAGTAGAGGGTCCCAGACAGAGCTGGAGAAAAATGTAGAACAAAATTCTAACTCACAAAAAAAGACCAGACTTACTGACCTGACAGAGACTGGAGAAACCTCGAGAGTATAGCCCGTGGACACCCTTTTGGCTCAGTAATGAAGTCACTCCTGAGAATCACCCTTCAGCCAAAGATTAGACAGGACTATAAAATGAGACTAAAGGGGCACACCAACTCAGGGGCAAGGACTAGAAGGCAGGAGGGGACAGGAAAGCTGGTGATAGGGAACCCAAGGTCGAGAAGGGAGGGTGTTGACATGTCGTGCGGTTGGTAACCAATGTCACAAAACAATATGCCTACTAATTGTTTAATGAGAAGCTAGTTTGTTCTGTAAACCTTCATCTAAAGTACAGTAATTAAAAAAAAAACACAATCAAATATTATTTAAAAAAAAAACAAATGTTGTCCCCCTGAACGCTTGGGAGCCCCAGGCGCCTATGAACGTCACTTTTCTGTGTCTGCAGAGTGTCCGCACCACTCTGGTGAACCCTGTGCAGACTCCTCTGTCTCTCACAGAACCACGTTTGCCAGGACTTTCCAACTGCCTGGCTGGACTGTGTTTCTGGCAGCCCAGCCTGCTGCATCTGGGCAGGGAAAGCCAGCACACCTAGGTTTGGGCTCTTGACATCTGAGAGCTGGCGATCTGGGGTGCATCCTGTGATGTCTCTGAGGTTCCATGTCCCCATGTCCCCACCAGTGCAGAGTGGTCTGCTGGCTTCGCTGCTATAACCATGATGCCTGGCACCTAGCTGGCACCCAGGAATCATTGTTGAATGATCATGCTGCTGTTTGCCCGACCTAGGGGATACTCAGGAAATTGTGTGTGAATCACCCTGTAAGTGCAGAACCAGAATACAAATATAGGCCATTGCTAGCTAGCACATGCAATAAAGTTGGGCTTGTGGCTGTGAGTGGGAAGGGAATATGGGTGTCTGGAGGGTGGGGCAAAGTTCACCACAGGCTCCCAGCTAATCAACAAGTGACTTTAAAAGAGGTCTGTTAGGGAAAGTCTCAGCTCTTCAGCCGTAATGCGGAGATCTGTTTGGAGCTGTTTCCTTCCCCCCTGTAGGTCCCCCTGGGAGCCTGCTGCTACAAATAGAACCGGCAGGAGCAGCGGGCGGGCAGGAGAAGGGCTGGCATAGCACACATTTCGTTCCCAGAGGAGGGACGCCCCATGCGCTGGCCCCGCGTGGCTTTGCGCATTCCGCTCGCGCGGGGAGCTCGGCGTCACGGTACAAAGCCGCTTTGCAGCGCTCTCCCCTTGCCCTCGCCATTGGCTGGCGGGCCGCGACCTCCCCCTGCGCTGGCGAAGGCCCAGCGCCTTGGCAGCCCTGCACAAAGTCCGCCCCTCACCCTGAGCACTGGGGAGGGGAGAGGGTGCATGGCTTTCAGGCGGCGGGACCGGGTGGGGGTGGGGGTCTGAGCTGGCAGCGCCTCCCGGCTCCTGTCCCCGTTGCACTTCACCCTCCCATCGCGCGCACTGGCACCTTAGCCACCTGTTGACGCGTAATCCCTACAGCCCCCGATCGCGTCCCTTTTCTCCTCACTTCGCAGCCAATGATCCTGGGGTAAGATCCCGGGGACAAGGTCCTTCCCCGCCCGCCCCACCCCCGCCCACGCACCCCTGAGGCTCTAGGCCCCCGGGGAGGGCATCAGTCTGAACCGAGCCGGCGCACGGAGGAGAGCCTCGCCCACGTGGCAAGGGTCGGCCAGGCACCTCCCCGCGCCCAGTGCCTCGTCCCCGGGTACGCAGGCTGGAAAGGGCCCCTGCCGGGCGACCTTGAGCAGTGCCCGCGCGCTCGGCCTCAGTTTACCCGCGGGTCCCGTGGTCGCGGGCACTAGGTGGGACACCGCGGCGCGCCCCGCCCCCGCGCGCGGCCAATCGC